ATTATCAAGGATTCATGAGAGAGGAGGGAGGGGAAAAATGAGGAGCTGATGCCAGGGGCTTAAGTGGAAAGCAAATGTTTTGAGAATGATGAGGGCAACATATGTGCAGATGTGATTTATACAATTGATGCATGTATGGATTGTGTTAAGAGTTGTATGAGCCCCCAACAAAGTGATTTTAAAAAAAAAACTAGATCAATTACATACTTGTTAATTTAAGTGCTTTAAAATCATCTGAGGCCCTAGATGGTGCAGTTAACGCGTTCAACTCCCAACCAAGAAGTTGGAGGTGTGAAGCCACCGAGAGGAACATCAGTAGAAAGGTCTGGTGAAGCGACTTCCAAACCACCAGTGTGAAAAGCCTCGAGAGAGAGTTCCACCTGGACACACACAGGTCAGCCCAAGGCTGACTCAACTTGATGGCAAGCACAGAAATACAAACAGACCAGGCTACTACATTACTGGATCTGAAAAAAGCAGTCATAGAAAGTATATATGAGAAAGGTAAACTTTCCCAATCAGTTGGGAAAGCATGTCCTATTTAAGAAAATGATCCTAAGATAATTAGTTGCTATTTATAGATGCAAGTATAATGTGCTATTTTTATTAAAGAACAATTAAATAAGTTTACAATCTGAAAATTCTCTATTTCTCATGAGATGGAAACAAATAAGCAAACAAATAATCAAGAGTTTTGGACACTGAGACATGGGGTAGTTTTGTGTGTCAGCCATACCAGTGTCCTTAAACAGACAGCAGAGAACAGTAGCTAATTTAGGTGAAGGAGGAAAACAGAGACAAGGAAAATCTGTGTAACATACATCATATAAGTAACATGTCTGTGCAAAATACACCTGATCCAATTATTGACCTCAATTTTAATAAATAAATTAACAGTCACACCATGAAATGAGTTAATATGTAAGCGAACAAGAGACAGACTTAACAATGGATCTATTTCACAACTAAAAAAAAAAGGGCGGGAATATTCTAACACACGTTTAGTAATGCCAATGACAATGTCACAAAGTGCCAGAGAATGGCTTTCATTTTAAACCCAAGCAACAGTGACGGTTACTCACCCAATAGAGCCTTGCATAGCATTTGCTCTGACACATGTAACAATAACACAATCCTTTTGACGACCCTGGAAGCCATCCACAGTATCCACTTCTGCTGGCCTATTTACAAAGAAACAGAAACATGTTTAACAAGAAAAAAGAAACGGAATTATATAGCAGTATTTTAAAGAAACATTTTTTCATTGCATCTTTAGGTTTTTGTTTTTATTGACAGAATTTACATAACCTAAAAGTCGCCAGTTTAAAAATGTGGTTTTTAGTGTATTAAATAAAATTGTGTACACCCACAAACAAAATCCATAGCTATTCCTCACCTTGACCCCTGTCCAAAATCTGGCAACCCTAACTGTACCTATGGATTTGTTTACTCTGAACATCCCACATAAATAGAGTTATGTCTGTGGCCTTTTGTCTCATTTTTCCCTGAATGTACTGAGGCCTGTCCAAGTTGTAGTGTGCGACAGTACAGTACTATTGAACGTGCCCCCATGGAGCCCTATGCACATACCACTTTAATATTTAGCCAATTCAGTGTGTGCCTAGACACTTGTGGGGTTTCCAGTTTTTAGCTATTTTGAATAATGCTGCCATAAACATGTACTAGCAAACATACTTTCAATTATTTAAGACCTGTATGATCATATGATTATTCTATATTTAACTTTTTGCAGAACTCCTAAACTTGTCTATAGTGACAATACTCCCACTAGCAGTGTAAAGGTGCCTGGGTCGCTATATCCTTCTCTCCCCTTTAAAATCAAAGCCGTCCTTGTGGGTGTGAAATGCTATCTCACTGTGGTTTTGATGACTCAAGAGACTATCTTCACATGCCTATCGCCTATTTCTTCATCCTTTGGGAAAATGTCATTCACGTCATTTGCCCAGTGTCTGTTGCGGAGTCCGAGGACTTCCATGTACCAGACATAAGATTTGCAGCTATTGTCTCCCACTCCATGGGTTACCCTTTTTGCTTTCTCCATTGTGTCAGCTGATGCACAAAAGTGTGTGTGTTTGGTTGGTTGTTTGCTTGAACAGACCCTCATTTACTGGGCAGTGTCTTGTGATACAAAGTACACTGATTTTGCTGCCAGTTAACCCTAAGTAGGAATCCTGATTTTGACAACTGAATAATTATTTTCAAAGATATCACTTTAAGGGTTAACATAAGTAGAGTCCCTAGTACAGTTTCAGGCTAAAATAAACACTGTTTTGAAGCGCTACTTGTGTTTGGATATTGTTGTTTTCCATTATTAACCTCTGTAAAATTGGCCAAGATACCTCTTCCAATTAGCTTTCCTTTTGTAAAAAAACATCATTTTATTGGGGGCTCGTACAGCTCTTATCACAACCCATATATACATCCATTGTCAAGCACATTTGTACATATGTTGCCATCATCGTTCACAAAACACTTGTTTTCTACTTGAGCCCTGGGTATCAGCTCATTTTCTTCCTCTCCCTTCCCCACCCCCCAGCGCTCCCTTCACAAAAGCTTTACATTTTGTTCATGTCTAATTTATTTGTTCCTTTGGTTGATTGGGCTGAATGTTGTATCAAAGTAACATAACCTTGATCACAAAGATTTATAAATTTGCTTCCTTCTATGAATTTTAGCGTTTTGCTCATGACTCGGGTCTCCAATCAATTTTAATTTTTACACACTGTGAGAGATAAGAAGCCAAATTCATTACTATGCATGTAGATATCCCGTTGTCCCAGCATCATTTGTTAAAAAGGGCTATTCTCTTCCTATTAAATGGTCTTGACATCCTTGCTGAAAATCAGTTGGCCACTGGTTTATGAGTTTATTCCTGAAATATTTTATTCTACTTGAAATTTATCTATTCTTATACACATCTGTATCTACCTTGTAGTTACGTTTGAAATAGAAGTGTGATTCCTCCAAGTTTGTTTTTAAAGATTATTTTAAGCTATTTAGGACTGTAGTGCTATGAAGTTTAGGATTAGCTTGTTTACTTCTGTTTTTGAAAAAAAATTGAAATTTTAATAGAAATTACATTGAATCTATAATTCATTTGAGAGAATTGTCAATTTAATAGGAAACCTTCCAATCACAAACATGGGATGTCTTCCCATTTAAGTCTTCTTTTAATTTCTTTCAACACTGTTTTGTAGGTCTGTGTCTAATTAAGTCTTAAAGCCTTACATGTTTCTGGGAAAATTTATTCATTAGTCTTTTATAATTACTTAATGCTATTATAAATGGAATTAAGTTTTATTTTCATATCCAATAGAAATACAACTGATTTTTATACATCTGCTTTGTGTTCTGTAACAGTGCCAAAGTTGTTTTTACTTGTGGATCCTTAGGGATTTCTATATTAAAAAAGCATGTAATGTGTAAGCAGAGATAGATGGCTTAACTTTTTTTAAAAATTCTTTTCTTAATAATCAGGGTGCTCTTTATACCATTTTCTGGTCCAAATGCCTTGACGAGACCCTTCAGCACAAAGGTGAATAGAAGCGGTATCCTATTTCCTGATCTTATCATATGAACACAGCACATTAGATATTAGCTCTGAGTTTGTCACGTTGCTATTATTAGTGCTATTGAGTTGATCCTGGCTTACGGTGACATTCTTTATTATGTTACAGAAGTTTCCTTTCATTTCTAGTTTGTTTAGTGGATATTTAGAAGGGTATCATGTGGCACCTTCCTTTTATTCTATATTAAAAAATACTACACATTGTTTTTCAAATGTTGAACTAACCCTGCATTCCTGGGATGAATCTCATTTGGTCATGGTGTATAATTCTTTTTTATACGGTATTAGATTCAGCATGAAGGTATTTTGTTAAGGAATTTTCCAGATAAGAAACATTGGTCTGGACCAGGACATGGCACCCCATTAGACTCATCCAGAAACCGCTCCTAAAGGTCAACAAACAGACCTTGATTTACTAACAGGAAAAAAAAAAGAAACATTGGTCTGTAGTTTCTTGTGATGTCTTTTGTCTGGCTTTGGGACTAGGGCCAGGCCTACCTAGTATGGTACAGGCCTCAGAATGAGAAAGCAAGTGTTGTTTCCTCCTCCTCCTCCTCCTATTCTTTGTTTAAATGAGTTTGAGAAAGAGTGATCTCAATTATCTCTTAAGTCACCTGGCGGCCCCAAGAGTTTTCTGTGTGGCCTGTTTTGTGATACCTAATGTAATCGCTTCTCTATACTTGCAGTAGAGGGATTCACATTTTCAACTTTGAATCAATTTTGATACCTTGTGTGTTTCTAAGTTATAAAACTTGAGTTAAAAGCTTTTCAGTATTTAATATTTAATCTTACTAGTGAGGTAAGGAGAGAAAACAATCCTCATTCTACATAAAGGCAATACAAGGAATAAACAAGTTCTTGTAAATTAGAAAGGAACCCCATGAGAAGTTTCAAGTGCAAAGTAGATGAACAAGTTACGGAACTAAAGGAAAACACCTGCACAGAGGTTCGTAGTCCGTCCGTCCCATTGCCACCAGGACAACCACTGCACATACGGCACCAAGTCCGAGGGAAGCAAGTCTCCCAGTCTTCTGTGCTCTAGCACTACCTTCGCATGGCCTAAGACCACTCCCTCTCAAGTTAGCTCTCCTCTTCTTTCTCTCCATCCGCTCTTCTTTAATGCAACAGAAAAGCTAGAAATAAGTATAAAAATGCCTCACCCTTTTCTATCAAACTCTTTGTCCAAATCCTTCTGAATCATCCTCTTCTGGGCCTTGTAATGGGTTATTATGCCGATGTTTCGAAAAGTAACATCCCTTTTTTTATCTTTGATAAGTTTAATTAATTCCATAACCAATTTTATTTCTTGAAAATTAACATATGAGCTAAATAAGATGGAAAATAAAACAAAATTAATAGCAGTCCAATTGCTAATGTTAAGTTCCACTTTGTCACAGTAATGGGCAGGCAGGTAAGTATAATCATTTATGCAGTCAGCAGTCCTCAAACTTTTTAAACAGGGGGCTAGTTCACTGTCCCTCAGACACACTGGAGGGCTGGACTATAGTTTAAAAAACAAAACTATGAACAAATTCCTATGCACACTGCAAATATCTTATTTTGAAGTAAAAACCAAAACGGGGCAAAACACCCGGCGGCCTGGATAAATATCCTCGGTGGGCTGCATGTGGCCCGCGGGCCATAGTTTGAGGACCCCTGCTTAAGAGGCCTTTACAATGTCTTTTAGTATCACACATATGAATAAGCATTAAAATAAATGCCCAGGGAAACATGAAGCTATACCAACAACAGAGTGAAGTCAATGAAAATTGAGGCATCAACTGTTTATCTGTTACAGTAGGGATAATAGTAGTAATAACATTATTTACATTAACAGTGGAGGTTATAATAATAATCACAGTTAGCATTAACATCAGCACTCACTCATCTGTCAGTTTGTCATACCATGAAGCTTTTGTGTTGCTATGATGTAGAAAGCTAAACTATGCCACCTGCATTTCAAAACCAGAAGGGGCACTCAGGTTGGACATGTTTCAGTAGAGATTCCACTCTACGTCTAGGAAGAGAGGACTGGTGGGTGACCTTCTTCTGAAAATTAGCCTCCTGAGACTGAAGGCCAGTTGCAACAACAGACTCAAATGTGCCAGTGGTCATGAAGCTGGTCAGGATCAGGCAAACTTGTTTTATTATAAAAAGGGGCTTCAAAATGTTTGTGGAAAAATAGGATTAGATGTTAAGGAATGCGTTTCCGAAAGCCCTTCACACATAAGGTCACCATTAACTGGAGTTAACTTGATGGTAACAGCTACAACTTTTATTAGAGATTTATTTACTTATGTTCCAAACTCAGAGAAAAGAGCTTTAGATGTATTCATGTTTTTCATTTTCTACCACTGGCCATGCAGACCATGCACTGTACACCCGCGATAGCATCTAAGCATCCTAATGGGAATAGGGGATCAGCGCTGGGTTCCCTAGAGTTGACCAACTTGGGGCCCTGCACCAGGCCAAATCCTCATCATCTTCCTAATGGTGCACATCTCCTGCACCCCACCCCTAACCTCAAGAGGGCTCCAGCTCCTCCTGGGATGCGATCTCCCACCTGACGGTGTTCCATCCAACACACATGAAGATACATGAATACTGGAGTATGCAACTGGGCCTGCCCTTTTATTTCTGAGGTCACTTTATCTGTCTCACTTTAGGAGCCTTAAATACCCATGATCCTAAACTCAGCATTTACTTAGCACAGCTCTATCAGTTAGTTAAGATATGATCTAAATCTATTTCTTTCTTTGGTCCTATCTCAGGTTAAGTCTCTCTAGCCAATATTCCTTTTGTAGCTTTCCACCCCATAATGCTCTGGGGTCCAACTCTCAGCTCCAGCCCCATCAGCCAACTACCACCTTTACATGGTGCTTCACTACCTCAGTATTGTTCACCTCTACACTGTTACCGGCCCGCAACTCTGTAGCTTCATACCTGATTCTCACCTGAGACCACCATCTGCTCTGCAGCCCTCGCACAATAGTTTCGATTTTTATTTCCTCCTACTTCATGACACTGAGGTGCACACTTTGTTATCTATGGCGACAAATGTTGTCACCAGACTGTTACCCCTCTAGGGCACCTCACACGAACCTCGCGCCCTTCTGAAGCCTTTGCCTTACAGCAGTGCTATCACTCCTCCTTCCCACTGTCATCCTTAGATCCCCTGACCATTTTTCCTCATTTGCAGCCCAATATCCTGAAAATACTATTTACCCTCATCCCTACTTTCTTATTCTCACATTCAGATTTTAATACAATTGTATCTATACAGGTATTTTTCACAGTACTTAATGCAACTGAATTAATCACCTAGGTAATATTATCCCCATTATATATTTATAAAAACAAATTATGAATCTAAGCTAGCAGTAATCCATGACAAAAAAATGAAAAAACCATCGTAGCTCAGGTAAATGAAAATCATTATGCTTTGGCACTAGGCAGAGAGATGTGTATAGAAAATGTTTTTGATATTAATCTGAACAAACATAATGTAACAATTCTGTGCCCATCTCTGGGGACTGAAGAAAAAGGAAAACATACTCATTATCACGTCTTTCTGAACCATCTCCGACATCAAACACAAGGTAAGGTTGAAAAGGCCAGTCTGATGAACAACGATTGGTTTCAGTTACTCTGTAAAAAAGCAGCCACCATTCAGAATACAAGCCTAGTTATACTTTATTATAATTGTAAACTTTGTGAGGGAAAGGGCTGTGGAAAGGAAGGAGGCAAGAGCAAATCTTTCTTTTACAGCTGTGCGCTAGGGAAAAGGTTAACAAACTGACATTTTAATAATCTATCTGGTAATTATAATATAGGGTTTTAAGTGCTATAACCCATCGTCACCGAGTTGATACTAACTCACAGCGATGCTACAGAACAGAGAAGTGTCCCGTAGCTCCCCAGGCTGTGAGCCTCACGGAGCAGAATTTCACATCGTCCTACTGCAGACAAGCTACGTAGTTCAGCAACCCCCACCACCCCCATTCTTCGGTTAGCGGCCAAGCATTTAACCACTAAGCAATCAGGATTCCTTAGTAAGCAATACAGTAAGGAAAAAAAGCAAACCGCATAACAAAGATACAGTCGACCCTCTGGATCCACATGTTCAACATCTGTATATTCAACCCAAACCAACCACAGTTCAAAAAAGATATATATTAAAAAACAGCAATTAAGTGCTCAAAGATAAGGGTGCACAATGTGCTAATTACATAGCATTTACACTGTGAGAGGTGTTGTAAGCAAACTAGAGATGATTTAAAACACAGAGGAGGATGTACACTCGTTATATGCCACTTTACATAAAGGGCTGAGCATCCATAGATACTGGAATCAAACCCCCAGGATACTGAGGGGCAACTGTATACCACAGGGCACTAAAGATTTTCTCTGGGTAGAATAAATGTTAGTGAATTCTTTCCGCCATCCCTTTTGTTGGCTTATCTGCATTTGCTACAATAAGTGTGTATGGCTCTAATGAAGAAAACAATTTTAAGTAACTTGAAAATTTATGCTTTTTATGTGAAGACAAGAGCACAGTAAAAGGTCTGTTCATCTTAAGCAGCCAAACCTACAAATACACTAACAGGCAATAAATGGGACCCACCTGTTTGTTTTCAAGTTTTTGTTGTATATATAATTAGACGGGAAAAGACAAATGTCTGGGTGCATCCTGTACTGAATAGTGAGCTGTAAAACAGGGAGTCTGCCAATTATGTTGTGCTCAACATTCTCTTCCAATAGCTTGTAGAAGCGAGCCATCATCGATTGGTCATAGCCATACTCCTGGGCCTTCTGAGAGGGAAAAACAAAGCACAGATATTTCAGTGATTCATTTTTATTTTCCCATTATAAAACAATGACTATGCACATGGCAAGGTTCAGGGGACATAAGATTAGCAACAGCCAAAGATTTCAGCATTTTCTGATCCCAATCCTCTAAAAGTCATGTATCTTGAGCATAACTTGAGCAAGCTTCTCCTTACATAAGCCCCCAAACTTATTTGGCTTACCACTTTTCAGAAAATAAAAATAAAATTCCTCAGCAGCCCCTGACAATGAAAAACCCCTGTACTGCTTTGACACTGTGCCCAGATCACTCCAGCATCCCTGCAGGGGATGGTATCACTCACTTTGGGAAACAAGGACTGAGAACATCTACATTCTACTCATGAAAGAGATGTTATCAAGGGTGGGGTGAAAAAGGGGAACTGATCACAAGGATCTACATAGAACCTCCTCCCTGGGGGATGGGCAACAGAAAAGTGAGTGAAGGGACATGTCAGGCAGTGTAAGATATGACAAAATAATAATTTATAAATTATTAAGGGCTCGTGAGGGAGGGGGGGAACAGGGAGGGAGGACGGAAAATGAGGCGTTGATGCCAGGGGCTTAAGTGGGGAGCAAATGTTTTTGAGAATGATGAGGGCAATGAATGTACAAATGTGCTTTACACAACTGATGTATGTATGGATTGTGATCAGAGTTGTATGAGCCCCTAATAAAATGATTTAAAAAAATTACTTTCAAAACCTTTTATAAGGGATCAAATTGACAACAGCAACTCAAAAGATTAGGTAAGAGCCTTATGAAGCCATGAGTTTATGTAAATGAAGGAGGAACAACTCAGAAAAGGAGAATAATAACAGTTGTACAACTTGAAGAGTGTAATGAATATCACTAAAATGTACATATAGAATCTGTTTTTCTGTATATATTTTCTACAACAACAAAAATAAATAGAATTTTTAAAAAAGGAAAGAGATGTTATCTTGAATTGTCTACAATTGAAGCTATTTTGTAGGTAATAGGCCATCAGGATGGACCAAAGGAAGCAACAAAAAAAAAAAATCTAACACAGATTCTAACAATTATTTCTGGAGTAGGCTCCTCACAATGAAATGCTGAATGTTGCTGCAAAAAAACTTTTGAAAAACAATTTATTCAATGATCCATCTAAGATATACTGAGTATCTACAATTTTGGGTGCTGAGACTGCTTGGGTAAAGAAGGTCAATTTGAGTCTCTGATTCTCTAGTGATGGAGAGTGATAACCTATATAAGAAAGTGATCTGACAACCCTAATTGTGGGTTATAATCTACAATTTTAAAAATGCAGAGCTAAAAGACAAATGAAGAAAATGGTCTGAATATTCTGACAGGTATCTTGAAGTATAATTTTCAGTGACCACATCAAAGATACAAAAAGTATATTTTAAATAATCAAGCGTTAAAAATGTACTCTAGACACTGCACTAAGATGAACAATACCACAAACTGTGAGAGCAGGCTAAAAGGCATTATTTCACTATACCTCCTTGTAACACTGAGGGCAAGTTCATCAAAAAGCATTACTATCAGTTCCAGTTTCCCCATGCATGGGTTTATTCTAAACAAAATGTTTACATTTATCTGCACAGAGGAAGGCTGAAGATCATTTTTCTCAGTAATACAACGTTCTTAGTCTCATCAGGGTGCATTAAAAAGAAAAAGAAAAAAATCCAGTCAAAGCAGTGGCTTCTGAGTCTCTTAAAACCCCAAGTTCATTGCCATGAAGTCAATGCTGACTCATAGCGACTATCCTCTGTGAGTTAGATCTGAGACTTGTTTACCAGAGTAGAAAGCCCAGTCTTGATCCCGAGAAGCTGCTGTGGTTTCAAACTACTGACTATGCAGCTCGCAACTCAACATGTAATCCCTACACAAACAGGGCTCCTGAGGGAATCTGTTAGGTCAGTTAATTTCAAGGCAGAGAAATTAGTTCAGAAGGTCATGGTGGTGTGTGTGTATGTGTGTGTGTGTGTATACATATCCCAAAAGGGATATATATTTTTAAATAGTTTTATTTATTTATTTTCCCCAATAATTTGAAGATATAACTCATGTATCATGTACTATCATGGTTCAGTCGTATTTAAAGAGTTGTATATACATAACTACAATCATTATAGTGCATCTCCCTCCTCCTTTATTATTTGCTAATTCCCCTCAATCTCCCCCCATCCCGATAAGCTATTATATATCAATTGTTGTAATAGTTTTATTGACATATAATAGTTTTATTGACATATAATTCATATATCTACATTTTAATACTTCAAATCACACTCAAGAGTTGTGTAATCAACACCACAATCCATTTTAGGACATTTCTTCTTCGCTGCATTTGTTATTAGCTCCCAATTTCTAGCAAGCCTCCCCTGCCATGCCCCTGGGAAACTATTAATCCGGCTGATGTCTTTATAGATTTATCCATCCTGGATTTCACATAGAGAAGATTACACAAAATCCAAACAAAAACAACAGTCAACCCAACAATTAGAGAACAAAGAGAGAAAACCCTCAATCAGAAAGCAGAAGAAAATATTAAAAACTGGAACAAATAAGTCTACACTGGATTAAAAGAGCTATCAAATGGCAAGGTGTCACATTTTAACCTAACTAGAACTACAGTGATCCACTCTACAATGTACTCTGTCTGATAACAAGGTCATTCCCACCCCTGCTCCACAGTCAGAAGGGATTCACGGGAAGTTTAATCCCTTTGGGGATTAAATCGGCTTTGGGCTTTCACTGTTGTCCACTGCTTTCTGCAAAATGGTTGTTCAGAGTTTAAGTTTTAATGCTATTTCCTCCCCTGGACTTGGATTGCTTGTTTTAAGGTAAGCCTGCAAGAACCCAGATGCTATTCTTTTGATAGCTAAGCACCACCTGCTTTCTTCACCAAGCTTTGCTACAGCACCCAGTGGTCTCTTCTTGAGGGCAAGTTTAGTGGTCATGTCTTAAGAACTAATTTAATTTTTCTTAGTTTTAGGCTATGATTAAGTGCAAGTTCAAAATCTCACACATGCTCTCAAAGAACAGAGGATGTTCACAGGACAGGGAAAAACTCTTGATGGGAGTAGAAAGCCGCACCTTTCTGCTGCAGGATGTTCATAGAGACTTATTATGGAGTTGCTTTTAAAAAATCATTTTATTAGGGGTTTGTACAACTGAAGAAGTTTTAAGAAAACAGAAAACTGCATTGGTAAGAAAAAGCCCCCCTAATAAAATGACTAAAAAAAAAAAAAAGAAAAAGTCCAGGGGAGTTGTGTCAAGGAAAGTTTTTCCATCAAGACAATACACCCATTCATTCTTTAGTCGGAAGGGTTGGTAGTCCTAGAGAAAGTTTCATTGGGAAACGCCATCCACTTTATATCCCTAATCTTGCACCGTGACTTCTTTTCTCAAAATTCACAGATGTGACTTGTCACTTTTGACATGGTATGAATCAAAGAGAGCAGAATTCTTTGGGGAATGATTACATCACCTTCAGAAGTATATAGACCTAGCTAAACATATGTTGAGAAACAATAGCTTCATGTTTTTATATAATAAAAATTTATATGATTTAGAAGCAATACTTGATTTACTCTCACCTTATTTTAAATAAATATATGTAATAAGAAATATCAAGACATTTTACCATTTCACTTATATTCCACAAAATATCTATTCAAGTACATACATATGCATGACATATATATGCATGTGCACAAATGTCAAAAGCCTCTGATACACCATATTTTAGAAGCTTATTTATGTTACCAATAACATGTAAGCTCCATGTTAATCCTAACATGTAGGATTAAGAATAAGTGGAGTGGAACCCAGTGTAACTGCCGTAACTGTCGTAACTGCTTACTTTTCCAGAAAGTTCACAATTAATACCTTTTCTTTTCCTCAACTTCAATTTAAGAAAATGTGAACAGATTTTTTTCTTATACCACAGAATACTAAAAGTGGTAATGTACTCTAAAAAGAATTTCTCAAATTTGAGCATATTTAAATATAAAACATGATGGGGTTCCTTTTCTTGTTGTTTAAATTTTTCCCTTCCTTTTATTTTTTAATAATTAAATCATTTTATTGGAGGCTTGTACAACTCATCACAGTCCAAAAATACATCCACTGTGTCAAGCACTTTTGATATTTGTTTCCCCCATCATTCTCAAAACATTTGCTTTCTACTTGAGCCCTTGGTACCAGCTCATTTTCATCCCTCCCTCCTCGCTCCCCCATGAACCCTTGATAATTGTGTTGTGGTAACCACCCCCCCAACTATAAAATTATTTTTGTTGTTACTTCATAACTGTAGTTTTGCTACTGTTATGAATCGGGTCACCCCTGTGAAAGGGTCGTTTGACCCCCCCAAAGGGGTCGCAACCTACAGGTTGAGAACCGGTGGACTAAAGGCATATTTTCAGATACCTTTTTACTAGAGACCCAAACAGAACTACTTGGTTCTCAACTGCTCCATGTAAAAGTGATAATCCAAGAAAGATGACCCTTATCCCCGGACACAAAAAGCCCTTCCGTAATGCTGCATGACTATAAAAGAAGCTTACCAAAGAAATGACTGTGGGCGGGAGCTGTTTAGGGTCTCCAACTAGGATAAGCTTGTTGCAACGGTGAATGAGCGGAGTAAGAGTCTCAACTTCACAGGATTGTCCAGCCTTAAGTATAATACAAAACGGAAATATTCTTAATTACCTTTGCTATTAGTTACCCGTACATAACTTGCCTAATTCATACTTTTTGTTGTTGTTTTTTTTTAACCGCCCCCCTCACCCCCACCCAACCCCCATAAAAGTTTTAACTATTCCAAAAGGAGCGCACTTCTGCAACGGAAACAAAATAAAAGTTTTCGTTGCTAGAAAAAACAAAAGCACATCTACACAGTTGTTGCTAAGTGCCATCGAGTCTGTTTCAAATCAGACAGGCCATATACTTATACAACAGAACACCACCACCTGAACGTGAGACATCCTCACAAGCACTGATGTCTGAGCCACTGTTGCAGCCACTGCCAATGCACCTCATTGAAACATTTCCCGATACAGTACAACTGAAGCACCAAAAATGCATTTTGAAGTCAGCTTCTTCTAAGGTCCAACTGTTACTTGGACACTAATTACTGGATTTGTGTCCTTTACACATCTGGGCTAGAGCCTGATGGAATTCCTCCCCTCTTCTAGAAACAGTATGTCTTCTTTGAAGTTCAGAAAACATTTTTCTTGGTTCCTCCTTCAGGCCCAAGACTCAAAGTTTTTCTTCAATTACTGATATTTCCTGTTCTTTCATTCGGATGTCTATTGGGTCTTGAATCTACTGGATTAATTTGACAAATACTCTTCTATTTCCTCTTATCTTCTGGATAAGAAGAAACACAGAAGGTACAAAATAACCATTTGTTCAATGAATGAAATAAGAATAAAGGATGTAAGATGAAAATATTGTGGGCTCTAAGCTGTCAAAAATTATATTAATGCAAATGTTTTGAGAATGATGATGGCAACAAATGTACATAGTGCTTGACACAATGGATGCATGTATGGATTGTGATAAGAATTGTACGAGCCCCCAATAAAAAGATTTTTTTTTAAAAAAGAAACAAAACAAAAATTATATTAACACCGCTTCAAAAGGTAATGAAATTGCTTTTTACTGGATATGTTCCAAATAGGATATAGATAATCATTTGGCAGGGGAGCAATCAAGCATCCTTTAGAATACTAATACTGATAAAAACTAGGATTTTCAGATTAACTATAAAGGAGCAGAAGCACATATCATGAAAAAATATACAAGCAAATCAGACGCAAAGAAACTTTTAGCCACATCTCCAAACCCACTGCCGTCAAGTTGACTCTGACTCACAGAGATCCTACAGGGTTTCCAAGTCTGTAAACCTCTAGAGGAATAATCTCAGCTTTCTCCTGTGGAGCAGCTGGTGGGTTTGAATTGCTAATGCCTTGTGGGTAGCAGCTCATCACCTAACACACCTGGGGCTCCTTGCAACATCTCAATCATCTCAATTCACCTAAGGCTTATTCCCCACAGCGTCGGTCCAAAGTTGTAAGGCCAACTGCTCACTAACCTCATCAACAATGACACAACTGAAGGGGACTCCCCCTTGCCCACGAAAAGCAGACTCAAGCAATAAACCACCACTCGTGCTCAATGTGCAGCAGATGATATGAGACTCTAGGATGATGATACTCTGTGTTTTCTGTGGGCGTCCTTGAACCTAGGGGGAAAAAAAAAGGTTAACATTTAGTTGTGTATTTGTTTTTTATAGTGGTATACTTATTTTTATTATAAGACAGCCAGGATTTATTATGTAACATAATGGTATTTAGTAGTAGGGGGTGTAGTAGATATATAATCGTTTGTCAATTTGAGGATTAAGAATGTAGGGGTGGAGTCTAGCTTGTCAATTAGATCATAGCCAATGAGGCCTCTATGTGGGCATGGCCTTCTTAGAATTCTGGTACTTCCTCCTTGGAGGTGGGAGACTGCTCACACCCTGGGAGACATAGCAGCTGACAAGACACATGGACCCACCCTGACGCAGAGAGCCCTGTCAGCGCTGAGATGTTTCCAATGACACTGGATCCAAAGACTTTCTACCCACTGGCCTGTGATCTTCTAAATTCGGTGTCATTGCATGTGTTTCGTGAGTCTGAAGAGGACTTTATAGATTGGTATCAGACATATGGGCTAATACCAGACTTATGGCCTTGTTTTGGACAAGGTTGCTTTCTCAGTGTTCAATAGCTCTTTATACACACACACACACACGTATACACACACACACATATATACATATATATACACACATATATATTTCTTATACACGTGTCCATGGATTTGTTTCTATAGTCTACCCAGACTAACATAGGAGGAAAACCTCAATTGAGAAAACTGAAATATAGAAGATAATCAGGAACCACCAAAAAGTATACTGAGCTTTGTCATCTAATCAGAAAATATGATTTAAGCATATTAAGATAAATTTGCTCAGGGTCAGATATGATCAAAATTGACTATAATTCTTCTTGTAGCCAACTGTGTTTAGGCAGGTATCAGAATAACTAGAGATCACCAAATAATTACTAGGTAGTAAAGCAACTATCTGAAATGGCCAAGGTTAGAACTAAACTTGAACACACATTTTTTAAACTTAATTTTTAACGTAAATAATATTGCCCTTTCTTTTATAAAGGTTAGTTGTCAACCAACAAAAATATCTGTGAACCTTTCTACTTCCACATTAAGGTAGACAGCCCTGTTTTTCTATAATGCAATATACTAAGGCAGAGGCAGACATTGTGAATAATACCTCATGACATACACGAGGGAGCTTCAAAAAGTTCATGGAAAAATGGAATTAAAAGACAATGAACTTTTTGAAACCATTCAAACAAACTCAAAAACTGGCATTATTATTAGCAGTAGTCAAATTGCCTACATCTGTTACGGAAAAGCCAGTTTCATCCCTGCACACATGATATATTCCACCACAAACTCCATAGCATACATGTGAGCTTAAGGAAGAGGGTGGCAACTGTGGCGCTCTAGTGCTTACTTGCTAACTCTTTACCAAACACACCGCACAGCAATCTAGTCAGTTCAGTAGCCAGGCACAATGAAGTCAATGGGCTGCAGAACACAGGTGGTAATGTGGTATGCTTTCACAAAACCTGCGAGGAGCAAGGGCTTCATCCTTAAATTAGGTGGGGCAGGGGGCGAGAATCTATTTGGGCTTGGTTTAAGAGTTTTAGTAAAAACGTTTTCTACATCATTTTTTGTTTAAATGGTTAATGAAAATACACATTAAAAAAAAACAACAAGTACACATTAAATTCTAGTCACATACCAAATGCCATACTCATTGCCATTGAGTTGATTTTGACTCCCAACAAACCTTCCTAATGTTGCGACCCTTTCATACAGTTCCTCATGTTGTGGTGACCACCCCCCAACCATAACATTACCTTCGTTGCTACTTCATAACTGTCATTTTGCTACTGTTATGAATTGGGCGACCCCTGTGAAAGGGACATTCGACCCCCAAAGGGGTCACAACCCACAGGTTGAGAACCACTGCTCTAGGACAAGGTAGAACTTCTCCAGTGGGTTTCTGAGATTGTAACTCTTAATGGGAGAGTAGAAAGCCTCATCTTTCTCCCCTATAGTGGTTGGTGATTTCAAGCTATGTAATCACTATGTCACTAAGGCTTCATTTTGCCACGTTGAAGCTAACAACAAAGTCAAAGGGAAATCCCTGCTCAAAACACCTAATAACATTACCAGTTGCAACCGCCCTTTCTCCCAGACCACTGCTTATTCCGATTAGGGTAACAATATAGTGATCAGAATGTACATCTGGCTTAGCCTAGTTTCAATGTCTAAGTTTTTTTTTTAATTTTGCTTTTTTATTGTGAAACGAATACTGGGGGGAAGTTACACATGCTACAGAAGGATCTCTATAATCCAAAACAAACAGAGTTCATGCTTTAAACTAAGAATTATAGAAAGAAGTGCTCATCCTTTTCCATGTCAAGCCCCATCACTGCCATGTTACTTAAGCCCAGAAACATGTGACTCTCTTCCTTCCTGCTTTATTTAAATAGGAAGAACACCTATAAATCTTTGTTGTTGTTCGTAATTATCAGAATTATCGCAAAATGTTCTTTGCGAGGGAAGTTTACAGACATTTAGAGAAATCCATCTCCATACTTAAAACAAGAAAAAGATTTTAACTACCTTTTCGTGATAAATCTCAGATGGGGACAAGAATTCATTTATAGGTTAAAGACAAAATTCTAAATGTAATGACACCATTTTCTATTTGGTTTGAAACTTTCCTAATAAAAAGCTTAAAAATGTAATTAACAAAAGAACATAGGTTGTCTAAATTATTTTATAACTAAATAAAAAATACCAAGAAAAATGTATAGGTAAACTACTTACCTCTTTAATTTTAGAAGCAAGTTCCTGCCTTTCTTTAGAAACTTCTGCAATTTTTTCATCAAATTCTTGCCTCTAGAAAAAAAATCAGGATGTCATCAGTAAAACTAATCTAAGTAGCTTTAAACGTTCTTTACTGGACTGCCTACATCTCAAACAGAGGAGTGTATTTTTAATCCATGAAAAACTTGTTACTAACATAGCTTAGTAATTTCTTGATAGTGAAGTCCTGGAGAAACATTCAGTTATCACTGCATTAAGAACTCAGGTCTGCAGTGGTGTGAGTGGCAAAACAGGGAGGGTAAAGGGAGAATGGGTAGGAAAGAGGGAACCGATTACAAGGAACTATATGTGACCTCCTCCCTGGGGGACAGACAACCGAAAAGTGGATGAAGGGAGACTTCAGACAGGGCAAGATATGACAAAATACCCATTTATAAACTATCAAGGGCACATGCGGGAGAGGGGAGCGGGGAGGGAGGGGGAAAATGAGGACCTAATGTCGGGGGTTTAAATGGAGAGAAAATGTTTTGAGAAACGATGTACAAATGCGCTTTACACAATTGATGTGTGTATGGACTGGGATAACAGTTGTATGAGCCCCTAATAAAATGTTAGAAAAAAAAAAGAACTCAGGTCTGCTTTTGTCCGCCATATTGGAACCTGTGGAGGGCTGGAAACAGGACTTCTAAGTGGCAAATATGTCTGGAAGGCTCTGCACCAGGCCATTTTTGCTGGCTATAAACGGGGTCTACCGAACCAGAGGGAGCACACAGCTCTTCTTAAAATTTAGCAGATGTTTATGCCTGAGATGAAATTAAATTGTATTTAGGCAAAAGATATACTGTGTGTACAAAGTAACAAATAATAACATAGTGAGACTCCTGGTGGTAAACCTCACAAAACCAGAGTCATCTGGGGAAAGGTAACTCGTGCCCATGGAAACAGTGGCATGGTTCAGGTCAAATTCTGGAGCAATCTGCTTGGTAAGGCTGTTGAACACAGAACCCATGTAATGCTGTACCCCTCAATGACAAAAGTAAATAAAATTGTGTATTTGTTACTTCTCTTTTGTATTTTTATTAAATCACTTGGAAAATCCTATTCTAAATTAACTTGCTATTGCTTTAAATGGAGAAAAAACAAACTCAGGTCCAATGAGTTGAGTGAATATTATTGGGCTGCTTAGCATTCCAATTTTGAGGGCACTGTTCCTCCGCAAATTTGTAAATGGTACAAGTAAGGCTCTGCATCATCCGCAAACTTCCTCTAGTCACAGTGAAGGGCATATTCTACAGGCCAAGCAAATTATGGTTCTGAGTTCCTTAAAAAGAGAGATTGGATCAGCTTGCCCACTCCTGGAATAGCCAGAGTCCTTCATTGGAATTGATGTTATGAATAGAGGGATACAAACCTTTTCTTCCTCCAGAGTTGGTAAGTTGGCAAGCTAGAGCCTACAGATACGGACACTCACCTTCTCTTAGACAAGAAATAGCTGATACACAGAAAAAACTACTTAAAGGTGGAGAAATGCCATCATTTGAGCCTCTCAATCCAATCATGCTGAAGCTAGTTCACTCTTGGATTTTCAAGTTTTATGAGCCAATAGATATCCTTTTTGTCTAAACGAATTTGAACTGGATTTAACCTACAACTGAAAGAGGACCAATAAATTTTTAAGTGGGTAGTTCAAAAGCATTGCTACTAGGGTTCCAGTTCACACAGGCAAAGCTTTAGTCCAAAAGGAATGTGTTTAAACCCGTCTTTGTGATCAGTGGACAGCAGCAGACAAGTTCTCTCAGGGGTACACTTGTCTTTGTCTCAGGAAGGTGCCTTAAAAAATCCAAATGGGCCTCTAAGGGGATCTACTGCTCCAGTTAAATTCAAGGCAGAGGAGAGATCAGCACAGAAAGTTATAGAGACTGTTTCCTGGAATCCCCACGGAGTAAATTTGGTAGATATTCTTGACAAGATACTCTATCAATCCTGGGGCTTATCAAGAAGATTCAAGAAAACAGAAAATTACATTGATGAGATGAGACAATGGCTAAGAAAATTGCACCAAAGGGATTTTTCTCCCACATCACAAAAAATGTACCTGGCTCATTCTTTGATAGTAGCAAGAGCTACCCTATGATAATTTCACTGGGAAATCTTACCCCACTCACCCTACATCCCTGCCCCTGCCCCCTCAAAATTCTTTTAGTTCCTCAAACTCAAGAACATTTCAAAGGAGGATGACTAGTCCCTCAAGAAGTCAAACTGTGTTTGACATGGCATAAACTTAAGAGCACAGAATTCACCAGGGCCGAGTTAGAGAAAGGAAACACTTTTCAGCAGTGTGTATGTAGATTTAGATGGAGGATCTGTCAAGAAACAATAGCTCCAACTTTGACACTTTTGTTTAATAAAGGTGTCACGATTTTATAACAATATTTTTTGAATGGTACTTGCACAGCTATAAGATAAAGCAGAGGAACTGCCTCTCTCTCACTGTCTCATTCTCACTCGCTCACTGACTCACTCACTGTCTCACTCTCTCACTGTCTCATTCTCACTCTCTCACTGCCTCATTCTCACTCGCTCACTGACTCACTCACTCACTGTCTCACTCTCACTGTCTTATTCTCACTCTCACTGCCTCATTCTCACTCGCTCACTGACTCACT